TGATGTGTTATACAGTCTAACTGATGACATCATGATGTGTTATACAGTCCAACTGCAGTTGGAATGAATGACCTACAGAAGCGTTCGGTCCTGCAGTGAGGATGTTTAAGTCTCTGACTGAGGGAGCTGCTCAGCCCCCCACAGTTTCATGCAGAGGGTGGTCGGGTTGTCCATGATGGCTGTCAGCTTTGCCAACATCCTCCTCTCACTCACATATTTTGAGCAAGCGAGCAATACAGTATGCAAATATGTGTGTCATCACGAGTGTAGGTCCCCATTAATCTTTACTAGAAGTGTTTTCCAATGTTTTTATTTTGTTTATTTGTTTATATATTTATTTATTTGGGTGGGGGGGGGTCCTGGTGGCTCTAGTTTAGCAAATTTCCTAATTCTACGCCTCTCTTTTCCAGAATGAAAGCTTGGTCCCAAAGTACGCTCCAGTCAACAGCAGAACTTCAGATTTGTTCGTGCGCATCTTTTGTTTTTCCACACAGAACCTCTTCTGTGAAAAGAAGCCGGAACCTGGAGCCTTTTTGTCGCAGCTGTTTCAGCCGAAGTTCGAGTGAAACAAACCTGAAGAGTAAACTGTTGCTTCGTATAAGCCAAAACCTGCAAGACAATTCAAGTTTTTATTCAAAACAAAACACCAGCAGAGCAGCGAGCGTTTATAAAGATTAAGTTGAATTTTACGTCGATGATGTGTTATTTCATGTTGTTGTGTGACTCACCTTTGCTCTGCTTGGCTTTAAACACAAACAGCTAAAATCGACCCTTATTTTTCAAAGTATCTTCTCCTGAGGCTCAGATCAGAAGCAGTTTCTGGTTTGGTCACTGAAGTTCTCGGCCTATTTGCTCGGAGGTCACGGGGACTTTTGTTGAGTCTTTGACCTCCGGTGAAGTAACCGCCTGCGGCGTTTTGTCATCGAGGAACTGCAGCTCCGTGAAGCTCGAACACCGGGGAGTGGATTTCATCAAGCTTCTGAGTAAAAACCACACTTCTCAGAAATAAAAAATAAAGTTATGTTTTTAACCTTTCCTCTTCTGACCCTTTTTGTTTTAAACTTTACATCTATTTTTTTCCATTCCGTCCTCCCTTACTGCATTAAAACTAAACTCTTTCATTATTTTTATTCTTTTTATCAATCCAGGTTTCTGTCTGATGAGTCTTTTCTTCCTCCAGTGGGGTCAACGAGTCGTATTTCTCAGTGCCGAGCACAGACTTTTTCCTGTTGCAGCTTGTTGAGCAACAGTTCACGACGTTCATGTGTGATCCGCGGCTGGGAGCCCGTCTAAACAGAATTCCCACRTGTGAAGCTTYGACACGGTGACAGGTTTTAGTGTGYGAGCRTGTATTTATCTCATGAGATCTATGTAAAACATGAATTTTAAACAAAATTCTCACAAAACAAAAACATTTTGATTTAACTTATTTTTAAAGATAGTGAGTTTCTTTATAGGAAGTATGAAATAAACACCTTAAAGTTCCTGTGACATCAGTTTTTTTTATAGTAAATATGAATGTATTTTTGGAAAGATAACATTGATAACATATTGTAAAAAAAGATTTAATGCCCCTAAGATGAACAGTTGTTGAGATATTTGCATGTGAAAAAACAGGAAGTGATGTCAAAGGGGAATGTCTGAATGTGAACAAARCGATGCTAAAATGACTAACAGCACAGACTGTAAAGAAGAACCTGATGTTTCTTTAGATTATTTTAATCACTATCATAGAGATGAGAAAGAGTCAAGAGTTCAAATAATATTGTTTCCAGAAACAAAAACCAGAGTTTTCTTTCTNAAAAAGTTGCTGAAATACGAAGTCATAGAAGCCATGGCATAAATGAGCCAGAGGTTTTGATACATGAAATGCTGAAATAAAAATTATGGAATGAGTTACGTAGGGTTAATCTCAATAATGTGAACGTTTTATAAGCATTAATGATCACAAGTGAGGTTAGCTGGATCATAAATCAAGTTCTGACTCATCTCCTTCAACTCAACTGACTTTAATTTCTGACACTAATTAGATTTTTCTTTGTTCTTTTAACTGGAATATTTAAAAAAAATCTGTAACCGTTTCTGACAAAAACTGAAACCCGCCATGTTTGATTATAAAATATGGAGCAGCCAATCCGTGTCTAGACTACGACTCTGAGAAGAATCTGATTGGTTGATCCACCTGCAGCATGTAAAACGGCTCAGAGGGAGACCACCAGGACTTTCAGAATAAATGTGGTTCAGCTTTAACTCAACTCGTTCTGCCATCTGTCACTTTCYGACGGGGCCGGTTGTTCATTGTGAGACTTTTAATGAGTCAAACACTAAATGATTTGAGTGACGGGAAAGTTAAAGTTAAGAACAAAAGCAAAACAAAACAAAACAAATAACGATTATAGATCTTCAGATTAAACTTTTAAACCTAATGAACCAATGATGTCCTGCTGTAGCAGATCAGTTTTAGATGCTTATTTAACAGGGACATTTTCCATTTTAAGTATTTTTGCAAATACAGTATTAATGTCTTATTGGTTCATGTTTTATTATTAGTATTTGTGTTTTTTCTGTTTTTACCTGTGCTCCTCTGGTTCATTCCTCCCAGGTGTCGCAGCTGCATCCTCTCTCCTCATTAGTCCCAGCCTTCATCTTCGGTCCGTTTCCACCTCAGCAGAACTCTGCAGGTCCCAGTCGTGGGGCAGACATTCATTTCATGAGTCACCAAACAGAAAGAGGTTTCAATTTGCATTGACGTTTTCTTTTTTCTTGTAAAATAAAAGCAGACTAGCAGGTGTCCGGCTATCTGGTCTGGATTTCTAATTTGATTTGAAGTAATTCTGCAGTAAAAATAATCCAGAATACAAAAAGTTTGAATGTGGAGAAAAAACTCATTCTAAAAATCTAAAAGTAAAGAAATGATCAGTGAGCAAATATAATCAGCAATGATGCGAAAACTTACATCAGTTAGTTAAAGTGCCTGTGACATCAAATTTTTATAATGAACATGAATGCATTTTTGGAAAGATAACATTGATAACATGTTTCAAAACAAATTTCACATCGCTGAGATGAACGGCTGTTGAGATATTTGCATGTGAAGAAACAGGAAGTGATGTCAAAGGGGAATGTCTGCATGTAAACAGAACGTTGTTACAAAAACTAACAAAACAAATTGTAGAGAAGAATCTGATGTTTCTTTAGATTATTTTGAGTCTATCAAAGAGAGACGAAGAAGAGTTAAAATTTATTTTTTTTTTCTTTAACAGAGACCAGCAAGTTCATTTTATTAATGAGTTCCCCTTTGATGTCACTTCCTGTTTCACTTTGGCTGAGCCAAATTCAAAAAGAAAACATGCCAGTTACGTGACAATAAAATTGGCATAGTACACGTGATTTTATCCATTTTAAGTATAAAGACACTTTCTTTGACTTTTTGTATTTGAAGGATAGGCATGTCACAGGCACTTTAAAGTTATAATAAAGTTTACTTTTTTATATATTTTTTTAGCATGTAAAAGTTCAGAGAACCCACACGAAGCCGCAGGAATTTGACAGCTTGAGTAGAAACACTTGCAACAGAAAAGATAAATTCCTAACTTGTGAAGACATATTCAAACATGCAAAGAAACAGCCTGAGGATCAAACATTCTGTGGWCGTTTCTGGACAGAACTCATTCCTGGAAAAGTCTTTAAGATGATCCGTGTGTTAAACTAAAATTAAGCTCCTGATCATCACTGGGACCACCTCTGGAACAGCAGGAGCTCAGGCAAACGTCTCACAGGTGAAGGTTTTACAACAGATTATGTAGGCCGCTCAGSTTTATGAACCCAGCTTTCTCCAACCAGCTCGGCCACATTTCTCGCAGTTTGCAGCACTCAGGTGTGCAAACACGACACCAAGGTGGAAAGTCATCAACAATGACTTTACAGAAACAAGCTTTTCAAACAACAAAATTCTGCAGAGAGAAAAATTACTCAAGAGAAAACATTTAAGATAGCTGTTTTTTAAAGACTTCCCAGAAAATTCACCCCCAAGTCAGACCATGCAACAAATGTGGTTGCTAGAAAGGGTTGCATCAACAAGTGTCTTCTCTTTAAAAGGAGCATGATCAAAGTGTGTGAAGGCAGCTAACAGGCCGACAGCTAACACTCTTAACAGGCTTTTAACAGGCAGCTAACAGTCTAACGGGTAGCTAACACTGCTAATAGGCAACTAGCAGTCTGCTAACAGTCTGCTAACAGGTAGACAGCTAACACTCTGCTAACTCTCTGCTAACAGTCTGCTAACACTCTGCTAACAGTCTGCTAACACTCTGCTAACAGTCTGCTAACGGAGCACAGAGTTCAGTAGGAGAAATATGGTTCTCTCCCCTGTGATTTTACAGACGATAAAAAATAAATCCGCAGAGTCTTGGAAAAGATCATGGGTCATCATGGGTGTCTGCACCTCTAAGATTTATTTACGGGTGAAATCAGGAAACACACACACAAGCAGAGTCCCTGGAAAGAGCCTACAGTTTGAGATCACAGTGGTCTACAAACAGACGAGTGTAATGTGTATTCCTAGAAAGAGTATGAGTACACTGTGTTACTGCCAGCACCAGAGGCAGCTGTCCAGCAGCTTCAGCTGCTCACTTTCACTTTCTGAACCAGGACTTGTGCTGAGGAGCAGAGGGCAACGAGGGGCGTTTGGCTATAGTTTTATTCAAGTTCAACAATATTGCAATAATTTTGAGCTCTTAAATAAAAAGGTTATATATGAAAAATAAACGTTTTTTAAAGTAGTACGTATATGGACTTTACAGCTAACAAAAAATGTGAAAAAGAGAATTGATTATATTCAYCAGATTTGTAAAATTCATTGTTAATTCTATAAACGTTGAGTCAATATTCGCATTGATACCTGGTATTTATGTTTCTGTACCTCTTGATAATTTAACCATTCCTACATCAAAATATTTGACTCATTTCATGTCATGGACACAATTTCTTTTTATTTTTTATGTATTTAACTTAATTTACAAATACTTTCAGCATCAAAAACTCTCTAACRTTCCTTTAAAATCATTGTGTTTGAAATTTGCCTCGTAACCTGGTTTTTGTTTTAAGCTATGCTTTTAGCTGGCTTTTTGCTGCTTTAGCAGTTAGCTAGCATTTTGTTACATTATGCTTTWAGCTAGCCTTTTCCTGCTGTAACGGCTGGCATTTTGCTACATTGTTTTTAGMTGACATTTTGCTTCTTTAGCGATTRGCAAGCCTTTTGTTAGATTARCCATTTACCTAGCCTATTCCTGCATTAGRCTGTTTTTTGGTCAGGATTTTGCTGCTGTAGCTGTTAGCTAGCATTTTGMTACATTGTGCTAGCTGGCTTTTCGCAACTTTAGCTCTTAGCTAGCTATTTGTTATGTTAAGGCTTAATATAACAGAGGCTAGCCAAAAGCTACGGCAGCAAAATCCTAGCTAAAACTTTTGCTGCTGTAGCTGTTAGCTATCATTTTGCTACATTAGGATTTTAAATAGCATTTTGCAGCCTTAGCTGTTAGACAGTCTTTTGTTRCACTTTAAAGATAAGCTTTGGCTACCATTTCAGTACTTTTAATAAGCCCATTATGCAGCTTTTTGTAACTAAAGCTTGGTTAGTTTCCTTACATTGTTTAGGTTAGTAAATTAAGATGTAAATTAAAGATTAAAATTAGTTTAAGCTCTTTCATCTCACAAATCTGCTTCTGCTCTAAAACATCAGCTGATAAGAGAAAAAAAAACTTCCAGACATGCGCTCTGTATAAGATTAAACTTTTTTTTTGTTGTTTTAGATTGAGGTTAAGATACTTCAGCTGCTTTCTACCTTTGTTATCTTCTGAACAAGAACTTCCTGTCGACACCTTAAATGTCTGGAAATTACAACTGGTCTGCTCAGCTGAAGGTGTTTCTGAAAAGGTTGAGAAATCTCCCACCGATGTTTGTTTCTGTGCATTAAAAACATTAAACTATATAGTAAGTGCTGAAACACCAAACACTTTGATTTCATGTAAACGTTAACTACAAGTTTGACTCTAAAAATAAAGAAAGAGACGAAGTTTCAGGTGAGTGATGGTGTGGGAGGTAAAGAAAAAGCCCGGGTTCTCCGATGACATCAGTCTGTCTAATGTTTGTGGTAAAACAGCAACACCACAGACTCTGAGGAATCTACTGCCCTAGTTCTTCACTTACCAAAATAAAATGACCTTTAGCTGTTTTATCTTCACTTTTGGACTTTTGTGTTCGTTTCCTGAGAAGCAATTTTCAAACACAAAACCTGAGCATTTTGGACTAAACTACATTTATTTCTGCTCTTAGTTAAATCGCTCAAAGATGAGGCTGCGTTGGGATCCCCAGGAGGACCAGGAGAATTTCCTTAAGTATTCAACCCTAACCCAGATAATCTGAGTTACAGATCTGTTGACCTTTTACTGGGTGGTTCAATAAACAAAACTAGAGAAGTTACATTTCTTGTAAAAATGCAGTGTGAAGCTTGAAAAGCAGAAAAACTCTAAAATTTGCAGGAAAACCCCTGAAAGAGCACATTTGCTGAATTAAACAGAAATTGGCTAAAATGAACACAAAATGATAAAGTTAGCTGGAAAAAAAAGTTYCTCTAATTCGCAGAAAAACTTAAATACATCTCAAAAGATGGGAAAAAATTGGCAGAAAGCATTTGAAAGGCATAAAAAAAACTAATAGCTTGGTGGAAGTTGAAATTAGAAAAAAAATAGCTGAAAAAGCTGAAACTAGCTAAAAAGAGATGAAAGGTTGATGTAAAAAGCTAAAAAACACTAAAGTTTGTAAAAAAAAATCAAAAAGAGCACATTTTCTTTATTAAAAAAAAGCTGAAATAAACACAATAGCTGAAATTAGCTAAAGAAAATTTAAGCTGAAATTAGTCGAAAAACAGTTAAATAGTTCCTGAAAAGTCAGAAAAAATAACTCAAATTAGCAGAAAGCATCTAAAAGCTGATGGAGCTTGAAATAAGCAGAAAAAAATGAAAAAGCTGAAACTAGCTGGAAAAATAGCTAAAAAGTTCATGTAAAAAGCTGAAAAACACTGAAGTTTCAACATTTTTATAAATGCATTGCTGAAGTAGCTGACAGATGAGGCAAGCAGCTGAAGACTCAGCTGATGAGCTAATTTGTGACATCCTGAGAATGCAACTAAACCAGTTCATGAAGTCAACAGGTCCCATTTACAAAAGAAACAAAATCATTAAGACTCCTTTGTTAAGCTTTGTGTTTCAGCGCGTTGCGACATCGCCTCCTGCATATTTACAGCGGAGCCGTTGTGATAACGGCAGCGCCTGATCTGATTGGGAACTGCTTTAACCGAACAGGGGACAGTGTAAACACAGGCTGCTCCGCCCGTGCACTCCATGCCTCCCCTTCAATGCTGCCAGGAGATAAGCAACAGTTTCAGATAAGCGCCGCTCTGACAGGAATGCTCTGAGGCGTGCAGATTGCCTCACCGCCTAGAGGGTCACCTCTAGTCAACTGCCACTCACATGCAAATACCACCCCAACATTTGAATACCTCGCCTCCTTAAGTAACCCAGACGACTGTTTGCATGGAGCCGAACACAAAAAAAGAGTTGGGAAATCTCTGCAACGGTTCTGGAGATGGCCCCCGGGTTCGTGCACGATTTTCCAGGAGCACATCCGGCACTTCCCGGCACATCCGGGTACAGGTGGAGTCCCCGCCAGGATTCAGTTTCCCTTTTTCTGCACAGCTCAGATCGGCGCCACGCCGTTACATCATTGTGCAACATTAAAGAAACACCAAACACGCCGAGCCACTTTGTTCCGAACGAGTGCCGCGCCTCGCTACAGTTGCAATAAAACAGAACAGGTTTGATAAAACAGAACATTTTGTTTATTATGATAAGATCTCACCCTCAGAGATGAATGTTGTGACTCCAAACTGTGATAGCTGCTCTGGACTGTGGAGCTGAGGTTCTTAAAGTTCTGCTACAGCACAACCCCCAGCTCTGGTTGGGATATTTAAAATTATCATATATGGGTTTATGCTGATAAAACAGGAGTTGCATTTCCTGTGAAAAATACTTATTGCTGAAAATGTTTAGTAACAAAACTGTATGGGAGTTCAATTTGAAGAGATAGCATTTGCTGAAGGTAGGAAAATAGGAAATAAGTCAAAAATTTGTAGAAAAAATAAAGAAAAATGTGTCAAAAAATGCTGAACAGAGCAGAAATGTGGCTAAAAACAACAGAAACAATTTGGATTTAGCAGATCAATAATAAATACAGTAAAAGAGCTCACATTTGCAAAAAATAAAAAGTATATATAAGTATGTATTAGTGCTTATAAGGCTGAGTTCACCTGAAACTCAGACTGAGGAAGTCTCTTGGACGAGAGACAAAACGTTTYGCTAAAGAAGAACCATCCAGTTCATTCCATTCTAAGAACAGCAGAAAGGAGCAGAAAAACAGCTCAAATAGCAGAAATGTTTTAAATAAAGAAGCAAAACGAAGCTGAAATTACCACAAATTAGCAGAAGCATAGTAGACTTTAAACATTTTGAAGGGTTTTAAGGATGCCGAAGACAGCTGTATTCATTTTCAATGAGGAAAAATTGGCCAAAAAAAAAAAAAAAAAAAGCTAAATAGCTGAAAAAGTTGCTGAAATACGAAGTCATAGAAGCCATGGCATAAATGAGCCAGAGGTTTTGATA